CTGGGGCTCAATTTGGGCCTGATGTGACTGATTTGTTCTTCGGCTCGAACTCAACCTTTAGAATGCCGTAAATTGTACCAAGGTTCGAACTCGACCTTGGTTTTAGGGTGCAATATATCGTGTTAGGGTTCGAGTTCGTCCTCGATATGACGTAAGGTAATTCGTACTATGGTTCGAACTCGACCTCGAGCTGATGATGCCAAGATTCGAACTTGACTTCGGTTTGAAGTAGAATGATCTGTATGGAGGTTCAAATTCGACCTTGATTTTTCGTAAGGTAATTCTTAGTAAGGTTCGAACTCGACCTTGCCGAGGCTCGTACTCGTCCTCGGGCTAGAGTAGAATGAATTGAATGAAGGTTCAAACTCGACCTTGACTTGATCGTGCCAAGGTTCGGATTCGACCTCAGGCGGATTATACCAAGATTCGAACTCGATCTCGGACTAAAGTAGAATAAATTGAATGAAGGTTCGAATTTGACTTGACTTGATCGTGTCAAGGTTCATATTCGACTTCAGGCGGATTATACCAAGATTCGAACTCGATGTCGGACTAAAGTAGAATGAATTGAATGAAGGTTCGAATTCAACCTTGAATGTGATCGTGGCAAGGTTCGAACTTGACCTCGGGTTTAAGCAAAATGCATTAAGGTTTAAACTTGACCTCGGGTTTAAGCAAAACACATTAAGGTTCGAACTCGACCTCAGGTTTAAGAAAAACTCATTAAGGTTTGAACTCGACCTTAAGTTTAAGCAAAACGCATTAAGGTTCGAACTTGACCTCGGGTTTAAGCAAAACGCATTAAGGTTCGAACTCGACCTCGGGTTAGCATAAAGCATCTTGCGGCAAAATGATATAAGACTAAGAGAATGTGAATGGAACGGAATGAGTTATTTTATTGATTGTTTGTATGTGCCTCGTTAAAAACCCTCTCAGCCAAAATCCATCTTTCTGTTTTTTGGGATAAAAAGCTTAGGCGGGAAAAGAGTGCACAACTCATTCGTACAAAGTTAACTGAAGTAAAACTTGAGATGCGTGGCATTCCAAGTTCGCGGTATGAACTTTCCGCTGAGTTCTTCCAGTTAGTATGCTCCGTTTTCCAAGTCTTCTACAACTCGGAATGGGCCACCCCAGGTGGGTGCAAGCTTTCCATCTGATGTGTCTTTCCGAGCTTCGCCTAGCAAACGCCACACCAAGTCGCCAACTCGGAAAGAGCGAGGTCGTACTCGTGCGTGGAGGGTCTTGACGCTGCCCAGGTCTTTCTATAGAGGACTATGGCTATTGTGGACCACTAGAAGCATAAGTGGTCCAGGCAGCAGGAGGATCTGGTCAGTTTGAGGAGCCGAGTTCAGCCCTTGAAGGAGGAAGCCAAGGCCTTGAGAGAGGAGAGCAAAGCCTTAAAGGATGAGAACCGGGCCTTGGCAGGAGCTCTCGGGGATGCCAAGCTGCAGAACGGGGCTGAGCTTCAAGCTACTCGGAGGGAGGTGGAGAGGATCCGGAAGTCTTTGGAGATCACTCTAAGATCTAACGAGACTTATGCTGCTCAGGTTCATGATTTGTAGGAACTCTCCAGCTCTTCCCGGGCTCGAGTGCGCACCTTGGAGGATGAGGTCACTGCGCAGAAGGCCGAGTTGGTGGCGGCGGCCGAGAAGCGTCTTTGTGACGAGGTGCTTCTCGGTGGACAAGTAGAGGAGAATGCTGCTCTGAAGGTGGACCTGGCAAGGTTGGAGGAGGCAAAGACGGGGCTGGAGAGGAAGCTCGAGGAGACTGAGCAGGCCGTCGTCTTTGAGCACAAGAGGGGGTTCCTCAAGGTAGCTCACCAAGCTAGGCTTCTCGCACTGGGGTTCGACTTCTCCGCCAAGCACGTGGAGAAGGAGGTCCGCTTTGGGAAGCTAGTGAAGGAGGACGACCTCGAGGATAGCTCCAGTGAGAACGCCTCCGCCTAGGCCGCCTTTGTAATAACTTAGCTTAATTTTCTGCGCTTTATATTTTTTCTTGAATTCCTATGTTAAACTCTGTGAACACCATTGTGTATATATTCGATGGTTCTTTTGTTTTTCGAACTTGTGTGTTTTTGTGCTTGCTTTGCGTTTTTCTGGGGCTCAATTTGGGCCTGATGTGACTGATTTGTTCTTCGGCTCGAACTCAACCTTTAGAATGCCGTAAATTGTACCAAGGTTCGAACTCGACCTTGGTTTTAGGGTGCAATATATCGTGTTAGGGTTCGAGTTCGTCCTCGATATGACGTAAGGTAATTCGTACTATGGTTCGAACTCGACCTCGAGCTGATGATGCCAAGATTCGAACTTGACTTCGGTTTGAAGTAGAATGATCTGTATGGAGGGTCTGCTGCGGCTTCTGCTGCTACCGGGGTTGACGGCAAGGGGTCGAGTTCTGAGGTCCCAACAGCTACGCCTGCAGCTTCGGCGCCTTCGTCTAGTCCATTGCAGGGGGCCTCTCGGAGCCAATACATTGCACATCGCTTTGGGAAGGACCGCTTTGAGGTGCGTTTGGACCATGTGAGTGCCTCGGCTGACATGGATTCGCTGTGGAGTGCGGGGGTGACCGCTGATAAGTTCTTCCCCAAGGGTTCACTAAGCTCGGAGGACCAGGGGATGATCGAAGAAGTCGGGCCCGTGGAGGGTCTTGACGCTGCCCAGGTCTTTCTATAGAGGACTATGGCTATTGTGGACCACTAGAAGCATAAGTGGTCCAGGCAGCAGGAGGATCTGGTCAGTTTGAGGAGCCGAGTTCAGCCCTTGAAGGAGGAAGCCAAGGCCTTGAGAGAGGAGAGCAAAGCCTTAAAGGATGAGAACCGGGCCTTGGCAGGAGCTCTCGGGGATGCCAAGCTGCAGAACGGGGCTGAGCTTCAAGCTACTCGGAGGGAGGTGGAGAGGATCCGGAAGTCTTTGGAGATCACTCTAAGATCTAACGAGACTTATGCTGCTCAGGTTCATGATTTGTAGGAACTCTCCAGCTCTTCCCGGGCTCGAGTGCGCACCTTGGAGGATGAGGTCACTGCGCAGAAGGCCGAGTTGGTGGCGGCGGCCGAGAAGCGTCTTTGTGACGAGGTGCTTCTCGGTGGACAAGTAGAGGAGAATGCTGCTCTGAAGGTGGACCTGGCAAGGTTGGAGGAGGCAAAGACGGGGCTGGAGAGGAAGCTCGAGGAGACTGAGCAGGCCGTCGTCTTTGAGCACAAGAGGGGGTTCCTCAAGGTAGCTCACCAAGCTAGGCTTCTCGCACTGGGGTTCGACTTCTCCGCCAAGCACGTGGAGAAGGAGGTCCGCTTTGGGAAGCTAGTGAAGGAGGACGACCTCGAGGATAGCTCCAGTGAGAACGCCTCCGCCTAGGCCGCCTTTGTAATAACTTAGCTTAATTTTCTGCGCTTTATATTTTTTCTTGAATTCCTATGTTAAACTCTGTGAACACCATTGTGTATATATTCGATGGTTCTTTTGTTTTTCGAACTTGTGTGTTTTTGTGCTTGCTTTGCGTTTTTCTGGGGCTCAATTTGGGCCTGATGTGACTGATTTGTTCTTCGGCTCGAACTCAACCTTTAGAATGCCGTAAATTGTACCAAGGTTCGAACTCGACCTTGGTTTTAGGGTGCAATATATCGTGTTAGGGTTCGAGTTCGTCCTCGATATGACGTAAGGTAATTCGTACTATGGTTCGAACTCGACCTCGAGCTGATGATGCCAAGATTCGAACTTGACTTCGGTTTGAAGTAGAATGATCTGTATGGAGGTTCAAATTCGACCTTGATTTTTCGTAAGGTAATTCTTAGTAAGGTTCGAACTCGACCTTGCCGAGGCTCGTACTCGTCCTCGGGCTAGAGTAGAATGAATTGAATGAAGGTTCAAACTCGACCTTGACTTGATCGTGCCAAGGTTCGGATTCGACCTCAGGCGGATTATACCAAGATTCGAACTCGATCTCGGACAGAAGGCCGAGTTGGTGGCGGCGGCCGAGAAGCGTCTTTGTGACGAGGTGCTTCTCGGTGGACAAGTAGAGGAGAATGCTGCTCTGAAGGTGGACCTGGCAAGGTTGGAGGAGGCAAAGACGGGGCTGGAGAGGAAGCTCGAGGAGACTGAGCAGGCCGTCGTCTTTGAGCACAAGAGGGGGTTCCTCAAGGTAGCTCACCAAGCTAGGCTTCTCGCACTGGGGTTCGACTTCTCCGCCAAGCACGTGGAGAAGGAGGTCCGCTTTGGGAAGCTAGTGAAGGAGGACGACCTCGAGGATAGCTCCAGTGAGAACGCCTCCGCCTAGGCCGCCTTTGTAATAACTTAGCTTAATTTTCTGCGCTTTATATTTTTTCTTGAATTCCTATGTTAAACTCTGTGAACACCATTGTGTATATATTCGATGGTTCTTTTGTTTTTCGAACTTGTGTGTTTTTGTGCTTGCTTTGCGTTTTTCTGGGGCTCAATTTGGGCCTGATGTGACTGATTTGTTCTTCGGCTCGAACTCAACCTTTAGAATGCCGTAAATTGTACCAAGGTTCGAACTCGACCTTGGTTTTAGGGTGCAATATATCGTGTTAGGGTTCGAGTTCGTCCTCGATATGACGTAAGGTAATTCGTACTATGGTTCGAACTCGACCTCGAGCTGATGATGCCAAGATTCGAACTTGACTTCGGTTTGAAGTAGAATGATCTGTATGGAGGTTCAAATTCGACCTTGATTTTTCGTAAGGTAATTCTTAGTAAGGTTCGAACTCGACCTTGCCGAGGCTCGTACTCGTCCTCGGGCTAGAGTAGAATGAATTGAATGAAGGTTCAAACTCGACCTTGACTTGATCGTGCCAAGGTTCGGATTCGACCTCAGGCGGATTATACCAAGATTCGAACTCGATCTCGGACTAAAGTAGAATAAATTGAATGAAGGTTCGAATTTGACTTGACTTGATCGTGTATAATGAAAACTTACAAATAAATTTTTCAATTTCGGTAAAATGGTCCACATGAGAATCTTCAAAATTATTCTTCAATAACCACAATAATAAAAATGAAATGCAAGAGTTTACAAATTGTTTCCAAAAATAACATTTACAATTCCAAATCCATATAAAAAACCTATGTTATAAAAATCCTCTGACCCGATGTCACAATATCAGAGCATCCCCACAATTCAACCGTTGACATTCTAGATGCCACTCGTAGCCAGATCTTCCTCACCTAAAACATCCACAATTTGTACGGTAAGAAAAGAAAACATCTATATATATAGCACATAAGAAAACACAACATATTAACTTAATATTCATAAATATTTCAACATAACGTAATTCAATCAACCATGCATCGTCATCACGTCATAATTCTCAATCACACCAATTTGCACTTCACACTATGCCAAGGTCACGCTACCCATTTAACAATCCAAGGCCGTGCTCACCCCTGATATAACACTGTGCCAAGGTCACGATTCCCCTGTAGCATATCTAGCCCAGGGTCGTGCTCACCCCCGACATGTTATTCAAGGTCACGATACCCACGTAACAATCTAAGGCCGTGCTCACCCCTGATATAACACTGTGCCAAGGTCACGTTACCCCTAACCTAGGGCCGTGCTCACCCCTGACATGTTAACCAAGGTCACGATACCCATGTAACAATCTCGGGCCGTGCTCACCCCTGGTCATAGGTGTGAAGAACCACAATCACATCTCATTCACATTTCACACAACATCTCATAGTTCAATTCCATACACGCATCAGATAAGTCCAAAATAATGAGTTTCATACATCTCAAGCAATTCACATCTAAGTCATCAATTTTATCAAGTAATATAGCAATAACATTCATAAGTTAATATGATAATCAATGGAATTATCAATTTAATACAATCTTAACATAAATAGTAAAACCCCCAATTGTTCTAAAACCTAGCTCACAGACACTTTTCTACAATTTCGTTCTCTCTCCCAGATCATCATTCTTACAAATTATTGGCATATTTATAATCCTCATCACATACAGAATCTAATAGGATCATTAATTCCTCAAACAAAAATCATCCAATTTTTCACAACCTAACTTACAGACACTTTTCTATAATTTCGTTCTCTCTCCCAGAGCATCATTTTTACCAATTAATCATATATCCATATTCCTAAATACATATAGAATCAAATAAGACCAATAATTCTTCAAACAGAAATAATTATAAAATTACTCATAATCCTAAGGGATTCTTGCTCTACCCAATTCCCTCATGTAACTTTACATATAAATAATTCCTTTTTCCCGCGTACCTAGATATGTAGAAGTTGAATTTATACGAGATCTGGTTGGTCTCTCTCGCTGGGTTTCCCTCGGTTTGAAGCAGAAAGTAGAGGGAAAAGAAGAGAGAGCAGAAGAAAAGAAATCAGAAAATGAGAAGTGTGTTTTTTGGGAGTGGCAGAGAGCTCAATTTATAGGCATCCAGCTTCGTCGGAACGGCCCGTTCCAAATTCGGAACGGCCCGTTCTGGACCCTTGAATCATGGGTAAAAATCACACCCAGAACGGCCCGTTCTGGTTGCATTTATTACTCACAACTGCCATAGCTCGTTCCAAGCCCGTTCTAACTTAGAGTTAAAGGCAGTTTTTAATAGTCCAGAACGGCCCGTTCCAACTTGAGAACGGCCCGTTCTGGGCAACGAACTCGCATATATTTGGGTAGTTTGGAACGGCCCGTTCCAATTCCGGAACAGCCCGTTCCAAGCTACTAAATCACCCCAATACATTTATAAAATTTACCAAAATATCCTCAATTTAATAAAATAAAAAAATGAAATAAAACTAAGGTGTTACAAGTATAGTTTTATTATAGCCTTAATCAACAATCAAAACGTGATGTTATGAAATCAAATCTTTTAATTACAAACATATTCTGTGATCAATAAAAAGTTCTCCTTTGACAATAACTTCCATATTTATGAGTTTACTTTTTTCTTTTCTTTACATAAGGAGAGTGTTGTTGTCACATAATTCATACACAAGTACATGGTAGAAGATCACCATCTATAAAAAAGATTTAACCTATAAATAACACTTGGTTAACCATACTAACTTGACAACATGACTTGAGGCTAGGCACCTCCCAAGGCTAGACATCATTTTTCCCTAGTAACCCTAGGCCCGACATCAATTGCCCCTAATTCTCTTAGGATGTTAGAGGTCAGGCACCACCCTAGGCTTCACATGGAAATCAAACTCCATAAAGGTTAACCATACACACCAAGTGATTAACCATTATTTTAAAATATTTAACCACTTATTATATGGACCATTGAGGCCTAGCACCACCATACGCCCCGTGTCATTAATTTGTCTTTGATGCTCTCAAGATGTCTAAGGTGGGGTGTCACCTTAAGCCCAGTGTAAAAGTCAAACTCCTTAAAGATTAAATCCACAAAAAATGATTGACCACTATTTTTTAATGAAATTTAACCAAACTTTTATATGGACCACCGAGGCTTAGTGTCATCATATGTCTATGTCATTTATCCCTGGTGCTCTCGAGATGTCTAAGGTCAGGTGCCTCCCTAGGTTCAACGTGAAAATCAAACTCCATAAATGTAAATCATACACAACAAGTGATTAACCACTATTTTAAAAACATACAACCACTTTTTTATATTGAACATTAAGGCCTGGCACCACCATATGTCTGGCATCATTTGTCCTTGGTGCTCTCAGGATGTTTGAGGTTGTGCACGACCTTAGGCTCGACGTAGAAATCAAACTCTTTTAACGAATTTTTTATGTGGACCACTATGGCTTGATGCCACCATACACATGGCTTGGAGATTGAATTGAAAATCCTCTTTTAGCGTTAGAGTTATTTAAAGGAAAGGCCTTTCCAGGATAAAGCATTCTATGTTAAAATATTGATAATGTTTCTTTCATATACAATTGTAGATAGTTTCACAAATAGGGAAGGTAAGCATCAATAGTTATGATTTTCATCCCTAATGCACTGATACAAATCAATACATAAAACAATTGAAAGCATCAACCTCTGCTAGTTTCAATCCTTTATAAGAGCCTTATTGAACTCAACCATAACAACCTTATTGTGTATTTTATACAATCATTTATCAAAGTATTTAACACAAGCACAGTATTGTAATTCTAAATTAGGATTTTGGGTGATTAATATATAGTCTTAGGACATATATTGAGTTGGAATGATGTCCATCAAATTCTTTACAGCTTGATATTTTTGGCCATGTCAACAACATAACTTCTATTATACATAATAAAAGCAAAACATATTTTAGTAACAATTTTAATACATAAGTTGGTCATCAATTTTCATTGTAAAACATATCAAATAAGTCATGATTCAATACAAAACAAATAAGGTTACATCCTATAAAATAGAATTACAAAAGAAATTAAATTTAAAGTAAAATTACCAAGCTTGTTCGTCATCTTCATGCCCATTGTATTTTTCATTAGCACCACCATTGTCACCTTCTTCATTATGTACATAGTCTTCGATGTTGAGATTATTGTTGTAAGTGGTGAGGCTTCCGGCAATAATAGTTTTCCTTTTCTTGGATTGAGATGCTTTAAGGGTCATACTGCAAAACTTAAATAATTTTAATAATTTCATAGCAAACATGCTAAAATATAAAACATGACATAAAATAGAACATAATAATCCAAAGAATAGTATCTAAATTCTCAATTATTCATACACCCTTCTTATTTCATCATTATAATGACAGTTAATTAACCACGCAAATAACAATGGTTTCTTTCACTCGACTTCTTTCTCTCTTTTTTTCCCCTTTGTTGCCAACTTCTTTTATATCTTCCCAATTCTCACAATCGAAAAAAGTGTCTCTTTTTACTTAGTTGCTTCTTCAAAAACCAAACATATATTGCATGCACCAAAACAAGAATACCTAATCAAGGTATCTTGTTCATGCAAAACACAAGTGACCTAACCTTAGCAGATATTTCTATGAAACAACCTATAAAATGAGGTCAAAGGGATATTACCTTCAACCAAATGTTACAATTAAAAAAACTATTGCTACAATCAAAGAGATATTCCTATAAAACAAAGTTAAGCTTCTTCAGAGAATCCAATTTCTCCTTCAAAGCACATACCATGGAGTCGCCACATGTTGAGCTTCACAACTACCTACGAATAAAAATTTCATGTAAACAACATATTGGGGATGCAAGGCCTCCTCACCATCGGGCCTATGAAAACCTACAAATTTGAACATCAAAATATACATGTCAGGAGCCATCACTCACCCTATGTATAATCTTTAAGGAGTTTATACATTACCAACCTCAATTTCAAACATTTTTCAATATTCAACACAAAAAGATCAACATCAAACCCTAAACCTTAACCAAACAACTACATAAAAAAAAGGGGTATATAAACATGCAAAAATGGAAGAATGTCTTGAGATGCAAAAAGAAGGAAAAGGAGAGGAAGAAAACACAATAAATTACATTTTTGTATGGATTATGTAGGTTAAAGCCTTAAAGCAAGAAGCCTTAATGGAACAATGGTATGAGAAGCAAAGAAAAGGTTGGAGAGAAACACAACTATATATTGAATTGTCATAAATAAACACATGCAGGTTAAAGATGAAGAGAGATAAATAAGTGGGACAGAGAACAAGATTGGTTGCCGAGGTATTCCCTCCCAATTTTTTATTTTGGTTTCTTAAATTATTAAAATAGAATTACTTAATTCCATTATATCTCACTGGTTCTTTTTTCATTTTTAAAATAACTTAAAATGACTTTAAAAAATTAAATTTTTTACATCAATTAAAATTAATAGAAAATGCTCACTCAAATGACTTTTGTCTTCATGTAGATTTCAGACGAGTGTTGCAACAGTGCCCAAATATTGGGTCCCATCGGGAGAAATGCCGGAGGTTAACAGCCAATTTTCAAATACATTCAGACAACACCTCATTTTTCATTTTTTTTCATTTTTAATTATTTTTTAAGCTCAAATTTCACTACATGAGAAAATAATCTTTAAGGGTGTTGCGAGTGTTTTTGTCTTACATAGATTTCTAAAACATTTTTGTGAACGTAACAAGTAACAAATTCCGAACATGTTCCCGAGAGTCACCCCGTGAATAAAAAGAGAGAAAAGGGACACTACAGTTTATATACAAGTATAAAGAGGCTTTAAGAAAATAGAGATTGTATACCAATCCAGGAGCCATCGAAATTCATATTGAATTCAAAAACTAAATACAATAAGATTTTTTTCTGGTGAATTACATTAAGATTTTACGGTAATATACAAACGATTTTTCATTTTCTCTAGGCTCTTTTTTGCTTTTTAAATAGGTCATTATAAACAAGACGCAAGCCTCGTTCTGCAGGACACCCTATTCCGATAATTGATTTCAACTAAACTACCCAAAACCTCCATCGTGTTTTTTTCACTTGATAGTAGACTTCAAAAATGGATTGGACGGTCGATTTGATTGTCCCAAACTAGCCTCTGACTTATTAAGCCCATTCTTATTTGACGACTTCGTAGAGGAATCATGTGAATGAGGAGTTTGTTGCACCACCTTGTTACTTGTTTCATCCCTTGTTTGTTTTGCTTTCAGAGTTTCATTTACCATTGTGGTCTTATTTATTTCAGCTTTAGCACCATCTTGTGTTTTCTCTTTCTTTTTAAACAATGGAGCAGATAAGTTTGGTGGTGATGACTTGGTAACTGCATTTAATGTTTCAGAGTGAGTTGGGGCCTTGCTTCCGCTATGAAGGGCATCAGCTGTAATAGGTGCAACACAGTTTTCTTTGATGTTGGTTTCCGCAGTTCTTTTGGCTTCATCATGTAGCCTTTCCTGTTTTTAACGCGCGGCAATTACAAGGTAAAGATGATAGTGAATTGATAACTGTGTACACTACTTCGGATTTAATGTCTTACCTCCAATATGCTGCTGAACATTTCGGCTAAGTTTGGAAGCTTCAGAGCAGTAACAAGTTTTATTGCTCCTCTCATTGATTTTTCCAGAGACAAAAGCTTCACAAGTTCTGTAGCTCGCACAAGCTTATCACCTGAAATATCCACAAGGGCGAGGCATGACTACTTTTCACCTTTAAAATTCAGGCAATACAAAATGTAAAAAGAAAAAACAGAGACGCCTATGAAGTTTGAACTCACTGTGGCAGCAGGATGCTATAAGCCTCAGTATGCATTTATCTTGTGCTGCTTCCAAATTGAAAGCATCATCATCAAGTGAAGTAGTGTCCAGACCCACAGAATCCATTTCCTCCATTCTTTTCTGAATCTGCACGTAGTACACTTACTAATTCAGGTATCGGACAACAGTGATAAAAAAAAACCCCATCAAATTAGAGGCAAAAAAACTTATGGCAGGCATACTAAAAGGTACAAGAATGATGATCATTAAATTTGAAAAGAGAATAGGAAAACAGACCTCAAAGTGATGCAAGCTGTTCATCATAAACTCGTTTTCATGAGCTTCAGATCCCAAATCAGAGGAAGCAAGAGGAAAAGAAAGACTCAGCAGAGTGAGAATTGGCTTAGGCATCACCTAATAAGCAAATGAATATCAATTCATGATTAGTCGCAAGACAAGGAGAAAAGCGGAACATATTAAACTGTCTTAAAGTCTTACTCATACCTGAGGGAATTCGTCAGGCTTTTTGCACACCACACAAAATAACTTGCTTTCATTCAACCCCGTCACCCAATAGTTTTCATCTGGCTTCTTCTCTTTAACAGCACTGCATTTGAAATTTTAATAACAAAATATAGCTTAGGCATAAGAAGAATATTAGGCACATCAAAACAGTGCACGAGGTTAAACGAACCTGAAGAGTGGGATCCAGCTACCACCAAATTGGCTTGTATATGATCTTAGCACACCCTATATATTATGTTTACCAAATCAGCTAGTATAACAAGATGCATTCATAAGCAAAGGGAAATGAATATTGAATATCAACAGTAACTGTAAGCGCAATTAATACCTTCGAATCGTATGAACACAGTTGGCCTTCTTCACTAAACCCAATCCAACTTAGGGATGAACCAGGAGATAGTGGCAAGCGACCTCGAAGGGGTTGGACCCCATGAGGAATATTAAATACTCTAAACTCTAACATCTGCATGTTTAAGAATAAATATATCATTATAGTCATGAAGAGACATCATCATATTTCATGAAATTGTAATGTTATAACCATATGATATTCTCTTCCAGTAAGATAGCCTTTTCAAAAAGGTCAAAAACCACAATATCAAACCAACCTGATCATTTGAGGGGAGGCAATCAGAAGCATGAGTCACAACTGCAAGCTTATCCTTAAAACCGGATGCGGTCACCACTGGCCCGTCTAGCGAAATCACATGTCTCTGCAATGAAAAAGATTCAGAAATGTGTAAATGCTAAAGTACATCTATCACCACCTATTGATCGTTACATGAGTTAAAATCACAAAAAATAGTAACAAATGTAGCATGTACATGCTTATCTACTCCTACCATAGATCTGTTACATATGGAAAAGTATCATGCCTCCAATACTAAGTTATTGGAAATGAAAAAACATGTAAATAAGATATGGATGTGCAAAAAACCTGCAAACCACCCTCAGAAAAGATGCGAAGATAATTAAAACTAGTTACTGCAGCAACCCAAGCAGCACCAAGTGCAACAACCTTCACTTCTTCTCCTTCAAAGCGCATAGACCACTGGCAAAATTTTAAAGAACGAGCATATGTTAAGATTTCACATCATGCAGTGTTACTCATAAGATCTGAAATGGTGAATGTCCTAATAACCGTATAAAATTTATATATATATATATATATATATATAAAGTGTAACTACATATCTTTCATATATATTTTTTTCTATAAAAAATTCAATGAATTTTTCAACAAGTTTAAGCACATAATCTAACCTCGCTATTATTGGCCCAACTACCAAATGGGCGATACATGAGAGTGCTCATGTTGTTCTCTCCCTTGCAAGGATTTGCAAAGACGCTCCCATTCTCGTTCAATGCCGCCATTGTAAATCCAAAATGATCGGTCATTGAAGGAACTCGTGGAGTGCTTCCAGTATCATGAAAATCAATCTGTAACAAAGACATGTCAACACATTAATTTAATGCCAGAAGCGATGATTTAACTAAAATTCACATGGAAATGGTGGTAACTATGAATGGAAGCTAAGCTTGAACTATAAGCACTTCTTATGCATTACATTACCTCAATATGGCAGTATCCATCATGTTCAATAGAAGTTATACATCCAAGCATATTGTAGCATAAGAAACGCCTTTTCCCAGGCTGCACAGGAGTAGATCCTGGTTGAAATGCCTCCTGCATCTTTGCCTTAGATGTTACCATGGTGCTTCTAAATCCCATATTCCCACTATCCAAATTTTCCTTGCTTGATCGATTTCGTTTTTTGTGAGAATCAGCCTTCGGATACAAATCAATTTCCTCTCCTTCATCCTCACCTAAATTTTCCTCACTAAAAGTCTGTTTACGCAATCTTTTCTTGCTAGGTGGCTCAGACACCTCATTACTATTTTCACCAATATCACTCATGCTTCCACTTACACTATTTTCAGGATCCTCCTCATCAAATAAAAGAACCCCATTGCTCTTGTATTGCGCAGGTATATCCTCAGTTGGAGACTTCATAGACGACGGAATAACATTCTCCCAAATACCATACTTCCCCATAACATCAATAACAGCCAAGGCATTCTCAATTGGCTTCCACGCCATACAACATACTCTTTCATCAAACTTCTGTCTGTCAATGTCCTGCTTCCTATTAACATCCCAGATCAGAACCTGCTTGTCTAAACCAGAGGTAGCAATGTACTCCCCATTGGGTGACCAACACAAGAAACATATTGGCTGTATATGATCACCTCTCAAAGAAAACAACTTCTCAGCAGTATCCCTATCATACATTACCACATCATTTCTCAACCCAGGAACAGCCAAGGTCTCACCATCAGGACTCCAGCAAAGAACATTCATAGTAGAAACATCCACCCCCGTGTCAGGAGCTATGCCTTCGAGGTTATGAACAATTCTCCCAGAGTGAAGTTCCCACAATATAACTGTTCCAGTTGAATCCAGAGAGGCTAAGTATTCGCCATTAGGGTCAAAAGCTAAGCCAGTGACAGACCCTTTATGTCCTTTGAGAACCCTTGCAATGGAACCATCAACTGTGTTTATTAGCTTGATTCCCTCGTCATCACCAGCCGCAGCCAGCATGCTCCCTGATTTGTTAAACGCCAGGGAACGTATTGGCAGTGTAAATCTAGTAATATTTGTCTCAAACTCACCACCTGCCAAGGATCAATCCTAAAATCGTTTAAAATTGAAACATACCTAAAAATTTAAAACAATGACAAGAAAAGCATTGACTCGAGTAAAGATTCATTTAAAAAAGCTTATCAAACTTTTTTCAATTCGTGTTTGGATAAACTTTTTTCATACACTCTTACACTTTTTCATACACATTTATAGGAAAAGAAAATAAAAATATATAAACTTCACCCATAAATTAAAATTAGCTTATACCAACTTTAAAATCAGGTTTTCAAAAAAAAACCTTCTATTCATTCAACTTTAGAAAATCAATTTTAACTTATTCGCAAGCAAATTTTAGTTTATAAAAAAAACATATTTCTTTAATTTCTTTTCCTATAAATATTTATAAAAAAAAACTATTCAAAATATATATAAGCAATTGGAATTGGGGGGCAATTTGAGCATAATTTCATCCAAACAGAACATAATTTTTTTATTATAGCTTTTGAAAACAGCTTATAATATATATATATATATATATATAAGCAAATGCACCTTATTTTTTCTTTGACTATAGAAAGAATTTGTACTCGATAAGCACTTAGTTTAAATTTACCTAAATATACCTTACTAGTTACTGGCCCTAGTATATTAGCATAGTAATAGTCTTAAATGCAATGGGTCAATATTTTTTTACCAAACCCTATCGGTTCTTTCGACGCAACAAGATTCAAATCTAGAGCTTTATACATACTATTCTAATTCATACTACTAGACCAACTCTAATGATTGAAATCCTATTGTTAATATTAACGGGCAACAAATAATAATAATAAAAAAGTACTAGGGAACTTGTAGAGCTTGACGGAGTGATCGAGGGATCCGGAAGCGAGGCAAGTGGAATTGGGGCTGAGCGCCAAGGCGGTGACGCCGTCGCGGTGGTGGCGGAGGGTTTTGGGAGTGAGAGAGGGGAAAAGGGGGTCGTGGATGCAGATGGAGACGTCGGAGGAGGAGGCGGTGACCAAATGTTGCGCCTTCTGGTCCCACACGACGGAGCAGAAGGAGGCGCGGCCACCCTTGCCGCCGTGGGCCTCCCTCAGCTTCAGCGACCGAACCTTCATGGCGCTAACGGAGAAAGAAGGAGTGAGGTTTGGTTCTGACTTGTGAGGGGAATGAGAGAAGGAAGAGGTGAGTAAATCTAAACCTTAAAGCTCAATGAATCGTTTTGGACTTTTGGGCGCCAAACGGGTTTGTGTTTTCGGGACTTGGCGGGAGGGGTGGAAAGGGAATTGTGCCTTCATTCATTCGGGTTGCTTCCTTTTATGGGCTCTGCTTGGGCCCGATATTGAACTTGATGGGAATTACTATTCACACCCTCCTATATCTATTTAAATCTCTCAACTTTTTAATAATATTGATCTTTTAATAAAAATAAGATCATTCTACCTTTAATTATATATATAAAGAATTCAAATGATATTGATATAAATTTTTAACCTTTACTAATTACTTAATAATTTTTATATTAAATTTAATTTTTTTAATTCAATTGTTGAAGAGAAATCAAATGATTCTAAGAAGAGAATCTTAGTAAAGTTACTCTATTCAATAAATTCTTATTTATGTTATATTTTAATAGTTAAATTAAAACTTTTTAATATAAATCTATAAATTTTAAAAAATTTGAAAACTATTTAGTACTTCATTTTATTGATGATACGTAAAATAATCTTATACGTTGATTTAAATTTATAAAACGAAACTCATGATTTTCAAATTTTTTAAAATTTGTATATTGATTTATACATTAAAATTTTTTAATTTAATAGTTGAATAGTTAAAATTTAACATATTACCTTGAATTATTGAGTGGAGTAATCTTGGAACCATTTGGTCTCTCCTCTATATATTGATAGATATAAACATAAATATAGATAAGAAGAATTTGAATTTTAAAAATCCAAAAAGTTTTAGAAAGAAAAAAGTGGGTCTAAACCATATAATTTTGAGTAGGAAAAAATTATAAGAGTCTAAATTCTAATTTTAATAATATATATATATATATATAGATAAATAGACATAGAAAGATATAAATTTTATGAGAGATCGTTAATGCACTTAATTAACATAATTTAATTCATTAATTGTTAATAAATTGTTTTAAATTTGAGAGAACACATTTGAATTTTAAAAATTTGAAAAGTTTTAGAAAAAAGTGGGAGCAGCAAAACAAAAATCTAAGAGACTATTTTATATTTAATAATATATAATATAAATATAGATATACAAATATAGATTTTATGAGAAATAATTATACACTTAATTGACATAATTTAACTCACTAATTACTAATAATTTGTATTAAAATTAAAAAAAGAAACATTTGAATTTTAAAAATATTAAAAATCTTTTAAAAAAATGAGTCCAAGCTATATAATTTTAAATAAAAAAAATTAAAAATTATTCTACCTCTAATAGCACTCACCATAAAATTGATTTTACTCTGATATATAATAAAAACACGTTTTTGCTATGTACAACAAAAAAAAAAATATTCTTCTTTTGTTGTGGTGGTATCCAATGTGACAAGATTTTTCATTAAAAAAAACACATTTTCTAAAACAAGGTGGAATTTAAACAAAAAATTTCGGGTCGTGAATAGTAACTTCCTAACTTAATTAGCAATACCATGTATCTACAACTACAAGGATTTACGGGCAAAAAAAATACAAGGGGTTGTTGTTCACAAACCCTATTTGCTTTTCACATTTCTCGCCAATTTTTTATTTGTAATTTTTTTTAAAGATACTTCTATTCTACAAAAACTAGTTTTTATAATATAAAATTATAATTGTTCTCATCTGAGAAGAGTATAGGAACGATCTCCTGATGAAATTGGTGAGCCTCCTCTATTTCGCACGTTGGTCACTCCGAGATGGGAGTGATACTTGCAAAAGTGACTCTGATGCTTAAGTTAGTCCTTGTAGGTGTGCGGGTCTCGTATATATATAATTCACGTAACTTGGTGCGAATTAGGGTTTTTCCCTCAGGCGAGAGTGGGGTTGGTTATGGCCCAAAATTGGCTATGGCCCAATAGGTTGTGGGCTTGTGAGATTTGGTCGATGTTGTGGGATGACCGAGTATCGAGCTGGACTTCGGTACCCGGTGTGGGTAGTACACTAGCCTCCCAAGCTTTGAGCGTTTTGAGGCGAAGAGCTTATGCTAAGCATGAATGGTCGGACGAGTTTAGGTTGTCGATGTCAATGATACGCTAGCCCCTGAGCCCTGAGTGTCTTGAGGCGAGGTGTTTATACTGGGTTTGAGTGATTGGACGAAGGGTCGCGGCTCTTTATCTCCGCCTCTTAGGCCAAACGCCACGTGTTGTTAGAGGGTCGCTTCGTTTCTCGAAACGACGACACTTGTAATAAAGGGTGACGACTTAGAATGATGGGATGCACCCTGTCATTATGAGCCTCTATTTAATGTTCCAATTTTTTGTCGCGTGTGGGTTTTAAACAGTGTTCCCCCTTTTCATTTTCATTTGAACTCTTGCGTTTTCTTCCTCCATTCCTTTCTCATTATGTCAATGAGTTCCTATTCCGATCATTTCTCCCTCCTCTGCCATCGACGCTACGAGTTTTGTTCCTGGTGCTCCAGGTACTCTTTCGATGCTCATTCTCATTCTGTTTTGCTATTATTAGGAGTCACGGCTATGTTTGGCGACGAAGTATTAGGTTATTCTCCCCCCCACACTTTTCCCTTGGGCCGGTGGTCCATGGTGGTGGCTCTCGTGCTAAGGGTAAAGCCACGGTCCAGGAGGAGGAGGACATAGTCCCTAGGGGGATTGTCATCGACGATGATGGAAAGAAGAGGAGGCGAGGCGGGAATAACCAAAGGGATTCACACCCAACCATCTCCATTTATGGGTACGAGTGTGTAAAGGGAGACGTTGGCGAGTTTGAGAGTAGGTTTAGGACTTTCCTTGAAGTAAACGCTCTCTAGAAATCCCTGAAGATTTGCACGCTTACTATTTCCAAGCTCATCCGGGTTGAGCCTTGCCAACCTGGTGAGCGTGTGTTCATGTCGGGTACTATGAGTACCTTTTTTTATATGTACCATTATTTCTTCAGAGACCTTGGTGTTTGTCTTCCCTTTACCCCGTTTGAGTGTGCTTTCCTTAAATATGTGAATGTCACCCCCTCCCAACTCCACCCCAATAGTTGGGGTTTCCTCCGAGCTTTCCAGGTCTTGTGCTCGGCTTTAGGGATAGGCATGTCTCTTCCTACGTTTCTCCACTTCTATCAATTGAAGTTGGGTGAGCCGCCGCTGGGATGGGTATCCCTTAGTGGCAGTAAGGTTGGGGGTTGTTCCAACTATTCTCCTAATTTTACAAGAATTTCAATAGGGAGTTCATTTGGGTTCATCCCATGAACGTCGACCCGAGGGTTGACAATGTCTTTCACCTCGACAGGGAACCGAGGTTTCCTTTTTTCTGGCAGCGGAACCTCATCAAATTCAACGGGTCTGGCTATATTTGGTTGTCGGCTTCTAACAAAGCTGATATAGCCAATCTGGAAGAACTACCTCGACCTTTGGACAACAAGGTCGTCTTGGCACTTGCCGACATAGCAAACAAGGACAAAGGTTTAGAGAGTGAGTATCTCGTCATCAAGTCTTAGTAGATTCGACTTGTGGTTGTTGACATTTTCATGGTTTTCTTTTGTTTTGCCTTTACAGATCTGATCGAGAAAAGTAAGTGGTGCGAGCTCAAGGCCAAGTTCAATACTAAGGAGCTCGAGGTGCCTGAACATGGCGAGGAGGAGGTCGTTGCTCTCTGACCCGTCACAAAAGGAAAAGGTTCCGAAGAAGGTGGGCGAGGCTTCTATTGGCCCAGTGCTTGAGTAGGTGACATCGGCCGCCGTTGAGCATGGCAAACATAGATTTGATTGTGAGTCCCCGAGCTGAGACTTTGCCGGAGGAACTTGTGAGTGAGGTCGTCCCAGAAAAACAGGTACTGGCTTTGGCTTTGTACTTTGAATTATTTTATTTTTTCTAAGTTAACTTGTGTAAGTATGCATCCATTGTAGGTGGTTCATGTTGCGGCAAGCACCGAGGTGGCTCGTACTGCCGCTGAATTAGGGGTGTCATCTATGACCCCCCAGACCGCGACGTCACCTGGTCCCGGCTCAGCCACCGTGCCTAGGTCAAGGTGTATCTACCAGACTGATGAGTCATTATTTTCCCTTATTTATTTCTTTTTGTACTTATTTTAATTGTTGATTTGGGTTTAAATGCTTATTAATTACATAGTTTTACTATTTGGGCTTCATTGGGCCAATAATTTGAAATTTAATTAATTTCAATTCACTTGGTCTAATTTTTGTCCATTAATTATTTTCAGGTTAATTGTGAAGCATTTTTGGGCTTGGATATTTCGGACTTCAAGAGACAAGGTGCCACGTCAGCACCACTTCACCACGTTAGCACCACATCAACATTTTGTTTTATTTTTTTTTTTTTATTGTATTTTCATGTCAGACTTGGATTGGGGGCCCATTTGACTTTTTTAGGGTTTTAGGGACCTAGGGTAGGCTAACCATGCACCCACCACTCTTCAGTGATGTGACCACATTTTAGTTTTCTGTTCTTCTTCTTCCTTTACGTTTTTCTTCTCTGTTTTGCTTTTTTTTCATGTTTTTCTTTTCTGCTTGTATTGGAGACTGCGTTTTACATTTTAATGAATACAAATTGTTAGTTTCTTTTTCTTCTTCCTTGCTAACTATGTTCTACTGCATTTTTATTTTGATGGAAGGCTAAAACCCTTAGAGTTGGCTCCTTGTTGCAGATTGTAATCTCTGTTTGAGGTTGTGTTCGTATTGTGTATCTCTGTTCTGCTTGGTTCTTCTTCATTAAATCTCTGTATTAATGCGTTCATGCTTAATGGGCTGCCTTTAATGCCACAATTTGCTTAATCTTGTGGAAAGGTTTAATGTTGTATATGTTTGCTTAATTCGTGTAGGAAAGTCTTGAGTTAATCTTTGCTTAGTTGGTTAACTCGGATGGAATAAGGTTTAAGTTGTTGACAGAGAAATATTTTGTGAACCAAGGATAAAAGAGTTACAATCTTAACAAGGAGTCAATATGCTTTGCTTATTGTTCTACTTTGCATTTTATTGCGTTTTAAACTTTGATAAATCTAAACCAAACCCCCTGATGGAACTAGGTG